AAAAACTGATCCAATCCATTTAATAATGACTTATCATTCCTGTGTTATCAGTCTGCTGCAAACAGACAAACAAAAACACTGCAAGTATGGTTTTCAATCTTTAGTATGCGTAGCAATCACCTAAGAAGCTAGTTAAATGCAGATTTCTCCCCACAAGTCTGACATCTGATCCGGAGGTAAGAAGTTTGCTGTGTATATACTCCCCAAGTATATTTTAATGAGTGTGATCTTTAGGCTACACTCCTTTTGTAGGAATATGGGTGGTCAATATAAATGATTTCCAAGTACAAGATGATTCATGCTACTTATTCCAACCACCAAGTGTGGTATCATAAAAGCTGTTGACCTTTGCTGGCCAACATAATAGTTTGTTTAATAAGCATAGGCATCAAGTTCTAGAAGTTCTTATAGAGTTAATTATTATATTTTGAATGCATACTCAAGTATGTATAATAATGATTTCTAATATTTTCATAGTGCTTTAAATTAAAAAAACCCACTTAATATATGTCTTTCTTTCTTTATTTATTTTTAATTTATTTATTGTCTAAAATTTTACATATGTCTCCCTTTTCCCTGATTGACCTCCCCTGCTCCCAGCCATTCCCACCCTGGCCAAGCCCCCACCGCCCCAGTCTATTATTGTTCAAGAGTTTGTAATGGTCTCTATTATCCATGAATGTGTGAGATCATGTGGTATTTTTCCTTCATTGACTGGCTTATTTCACTTAGCATAATGCTTTCCAGTTCCATCCATGCTGTTGCAAATGGTAAGAGTTCCTTCTTTTTTACAGCCGCATAGTATTCCATCGTGTAGATGTACCACAGTTTTCTAATCCATTCATCTACTGATGGGCACTTAGGCTGTTTCCAAATCTTAGCTATGGTAAATTGTGCTGCTATGAACATAGGGGTGCATATATCCTTTCTGATTGGTGTTTCTGGTTTCTTGGGATATATTCCTAGAAGTGGGATCACTGGGTCAAATGGGAGTTCCATTTTTAACTTTTTGAGGAAACTCCATACTGTCTTCCATAGTGGCTGCACCAGTCTGCATTCCCACCAGCAGTGCACAAGGGTTCCCTTTTCTCCGCATCCTCACCAGCACTTGTCGTTTGTTGTTTTTTTGATGATAGCCATTCTGACAGGTGTGAGATGGTATCTCATTGTTATTTTGATTTGCATGTCTTGGATGATTAGTGACTTTGAGCATGTTTTTATATGTCTCTCAGCCTTCTGTATGTCCTCTTTCAAAAAGTGTCTATTTAGGTCCTTTGCCCATTTTTTGATTGTATTGTTGATCTTCCTTTTAAGTTGTATGTATAATATATGTTTTTTATTTTCACTTCATCCTAAACAATGGCGCTGGCAACAATAATTTAAGACAAGTGAATTCTGTAAGTTTCCCAATAGGTCAGCAAGTCGAATGGAACACTACCTGCAGTCAGATGGTTCTAAAGTCATCTTACAGCCTCATTTTAAAACCAAGATAATAGTTTTGGTTGACTTGAAACTCTTCAGAAAAAGAAGTTACTCTTTAAAAAGTCAGGGTTTCTGTGCTAGGTGGGGACTTATTCACCATGATTTGTGCACGAGGCAGATTTGGAAAACTTGCTATTCCTGTGATGTTATAGTCAAAGCATCACTTGAGAAAGTGAAATGGAAAAAATCCAGACTATTTTTGTTAAAACTTCCTACTGTGTGATATATGTCTCCCCTTCCATCACGTTAACCTCCATTCATTTGTCAAATTTCAAACTATTGATAATTTCTTGGTTTCTATAATCTCTCAGTCTAAAAAAAGTCCCCTTTGATCCTTATTTGTGTTTATTGCATTTATTAAAATTGCAATTATATAATTTTTATGGTTCATTATTTAATTCTGTATCTCTAGTAGATTGTGATTTACTTAATGACAGGGGTTAACTTTTTTAACTACTGTTAAAATAATACCCTAGCCCTATAGCCTCGTACAGAGAGGCATCTAATACAAACTTGTTGCATGAATGAATGAAAAGTAGAAAATGTCTGATTGGAAAAGTCCCAGTGTTTTATATTGACAAACATCAAAGCAGACTAGTAAACTGTCTTTGTTGTATGGAAGGTGGGCTGGTGAGCTTGGACTGATTGTGAAACAATGTTGGGAAGTCCCACTAATTTAATTATGAATATAGGTGCAAAGGGTTTGAAATTACAAAGTTAGCTGGAAAAATGCTGATTGAGGAACACTAAAAGCATAAAATAAAATTGCAGTCTACTTTAACTGCATTATATTCTCTTACCACCTCATAGATAGAACTGGTGCACTAAAACTTTTAACACAGCCTGAAAAGCTTGAGACTAGGTGGGAATGGTGGAGAATGTGGGGGAGTGATTGGAGGGAGGTCAATATGTAAACACCTTAGTATGGTTCTGATGCCAAAAGATTTTATGGGGCGTCAGAAAAAATGTGACCATCAAATCTATAGATAATATTTTAATTTAAGAAATAATGTATGAACCACAGGTAATTGATTCTTCCCCACAAGATGTTAACTTCTGAAGAATCTAGAGGGTCTTAGTGATACTGTTTTAAAAAGTATTTGAATAACAAAAGAACTGTATTTATGTGTACAGAGGGAAATATGAGTGAAAAAAAAAAGCTGATATCTCACAATATGTTTGGAAAGACAAGTCAAATTATAATGTCAAAACCAAAGGGAACCCTTACAGGTGGCTTCCATACACTAAAAGGTTGCAGGTTTGATTCCTGATCAGAACATATACCTAAGTTGCTTTTGATGATCCCCAGTCTGGGCACCTATGGGAGGCAACTGATCAATGCTTCTCTCTCACAGTGATGTTTCTCTCTCTTTCTCTTTCTCCTCTTTTCTCTCTCTCAAATTAATAAACATATCCTCCAGTGTGGAAAACAACAACAAAGGAAGTTGGAAGATATACATGGGAAAATAAGTCACAGCGATGAAAAGGACATGCCTTATAATACTGTATGATGCTGTCCTAACGGGCACACTGCAAAGAGACAGTTCCATAATCTGGGTGTTTCTTTAGGGCAGATAGTAAAGGTCCTAAGATTTTTTTTTCATTCTTTTGTATATCTCTTACATATTTGGTGAGATTTGTATCTCTCACACTGAACCTCAAGAGGTTAAAAAAAAAGGAATTGGTTTCAATCTCTTCTGGAAACTTAAATCTCAATGGCATAATTGAGGAATAGGTATTAGGGAGCAACTTTGGGTTTTGGAATACTCTTTTATTTTCAAACTAGAGGCCCAGTGCACGAAATTCGTGCATGGGTAGGGTTTCTAGGCCTGGCTGGTGATCAGGGCCAATTGGGACCTTCCGGCTGCCGGCTGGGGCCTTCCTTCATTCCGCGCTGCCCCCTGGTGGTCAGCGCATGTCATAGCAAGCAATCGAACTCCCTGTCTCCCAGTCGAACTCCCGAGGGGACACTTTGCATATTAGCCTTTTATATATATAGATAAGGACCTCTCTCCATTTGACTGATCACCACTTGCTCCTGAATAATTTATAGGTTTAGACATTCAAGGAACCTTGGTGCTCATTGGGTATGCTAAATCAGAGAGCACTAGGAATCTGCCAGCTACTTTGAAAGCCTCAGGTACTGACTGCAACGGTGTCATTCACTCAAACAACTGAGTTTCAACTTTTGTAGATCTTTAACATTAAGAAATATGTGATCCCAAGATAAATATTTCAACATATTTGTATTCTACATTTGAGGGTTTGGTAGTTAATGGAACAGAATCTTGGGTGAAATGTGCCAGGATAGTGTCTCAAGTCTATCACTTTGTATCTTATGACTTTGTAAAGTAACTTAAACTCTGTGGCTAATATTCCAGAACTGTAAAATACAGTAGGAAATAGTGTTATTATAAGTATTGATATGAGTTAATTAAGTAAATTGCTTTTAACAGTGTTTGGTACTGGTAAGGACTATATAAGTGAGAACTTTTATGATGATTCTGTATTAGTAGCTGTGTGTATTCATATATTATTGGCTTAAGAAGTGAAATAATTGAATTTAAAAAAAACACTTGCAACTTTATAACATGATACTTAAACATTTGCAGTTCTTTTTGAGGAGAGGAAGAAAATTGTCTTTTTAATTTTTTTCTTAACTCTGTTTCTCTTTCTTCAGTCTTGTTGCCTATTTTCTTCCATAGATTTGCTCTTTGGATAAGTCTACACCTTAAATTAATATCATTTAAATAATAACATAACTCAAATATTTTTTTCACATTCATACTTCATGATAACGGGAACATTTTATCTACAGGTAGAAACCTGCAGTTAAATATGAGTGGCTTCCAAGTTTCCATCAGTGTGGACTGCACCTCATAGTATGATGTAAGAACTTGATCTAATACATGAAGATTACTAGGATCATAAACAATATCTGGAGCCATTGTCTACTTTTATTATTATTTTTCAGTCTGTTGCCCTTTAACATTCTTTGGAAGTGATTTTTATGCTCTCTTTACAGGTATAAAAAACAGTCAAGAATTTGTTTTGCAACGTCAATCAAAAGTTTTTATCTATATCAGCTGATAACAGAACTTGAAACACAATCCAGGTGCAACTCTAATTAATGTTACCGGTACATCTCATCTTTCCTTGGAGCAACATCCCAAGTGAAATCTTCAAAAAATGCTTTCAATGTTTTTCCTCTAGAACAGTGGTTCTCAACCTTCCTAATGCCGCGACCCTTTAATACAGTTCCTCATGTTGTGGTGACCCCCAAATTCATTGTTACAAATTGAACATAATTAAAGCAGAGTGATTAATCACAAAACAATATGTAATTACATACGTGTTTTCCGATGGTCTTAGGTGACCCCTGTGAAAGGGTCGTTCAACCCCCAAAGGGGTCTCGACCCACAGGTTGAGAACCGCTGTTCTAGAGGGATTGATGCTCTTAGATCTGGGTCAAAGTATATTATGGTTTCGATCACTCTCTCCTTTTTCCCCCCCTACAGTTTATTGCTTTTGCTTCTTTATTCTTCATCCTGGTTTCAATCACTACCTTTTGCCTGGAGACCCATGAAGCTTTCAATATTGTGAAAAACAAGACGGAACCAGTCATCAATGGCACAAGTGTTGTTCTACAGTATGAAATCGAAACGGATCCTGCCTTGACCTACGTAGAAGGCGTGTGTGTGGTGTGGTTTACTTTTGAATTTTTAGTCCGTATTGTTTTTTCCCCCAATAAACTTGAATTCATCAAAAATCTCTTGAATATCATTGACTTTGTGGCCATCCTACCCTTCTACTTGGAAGTGGGACTCAGTGGGCTCTCTTCCAAAGCTGCTAAGGATGTACTTGGCTTCCTCAGGGTGGTAAGATTTGTGAGGATCCTGAGAATCTTCAAGCTCACCCGCCATTTTGTAGGTCTGAGGGTGCTTGGACATACTCTTCGAGCTAGTACTAATGAATTTTTGCTGCTGATAATCTTCTTGGCTCTGGGAGTTTTGATATTTGCTACTATGATCTACTATGCCGAAAGAGTAGGCGCTCAACCTAATGACCCTTCAGCTAGTGAGCACACACAGTTCAAAAACATCCCTATTGGGTTCTGGTGGGCTGTGGTGACCATGACTACATTGGGCTATGGGGATATGTACCCCCAAACTTGGTCAGGGATGCTGGTAGGAGCCCTGTGTGCTCTGGCTGGAGTGCTGACAATAGCCATGCCGGTACCTGTCATTGTCAACAACTTTGGGATGTACTACTCCTTGGCAATGGCGAAGCAGAAACTTCCACGGAAAAGAAAGAAGCACATTCCTCCTGCCCCTCAGGCAAGCTCACCTACTTTTTGCAAGACCGAATTAAATATGGCCTGCAACAGCACACAGGGTGACACCTGTCTGGGCAAAGACAATCGACTTCTGGAACATAATAGATCAGGTAAGGCATAATTTTAAATGCATGCCATTGCATACTTTATAGACCAGTATTATCCAATAGGTAGAAGGCAATCATTCTCATTTTCTGCAAATGTTCATGAGTTTTCAGTTCTACCCCTTCACAAAACATGTGTTTGTGTCAGGCTTATAGATAGCTAGATTGTACCTTTCTAAATAAATTCCAAGTAGAAGTCTGCATAGCTGGTCTATAGAGTTTTCCTGCCCTTTGCTGATGGTGCCAATATTTTCTTTTGCCTGTGTGTTGCTCTCGTGCCAATGTTTTTGTTCCCTGCACGATGTGATGGTATGATATTGGCCATTTTCCATCCTTCATCCTCAAAATGTTGATCTCCATATCATTTCGCTTGGTGTGTTTGTCTCAGCTTTATCTCTGCCACATGGGGCCATGCATCTCAACCTAATTCACAAGAAGCAGTTACTTAAGAGGAATGGATGTTTACATTTCAAAGGCCTAAACATCAAAGAGGTGATATGGAAGGTAGCCCTTTGGATAACGAAGGTCTTCCCTAATAATATTCTGGAGAATTGATTAAATTTTTATTATTACTAAATTAGGTAGGGTATTCAACGTAATTCCATTGGATTGAGCAAGGTGTTATATAATCAATTTATCATTATTCTTGGGATAGATGATGGGCTTTGGCTCATCAATGGCAACATTGAATTTCTCTGTGGATTTCCTTTTTTATCCACAGAGGCCATCTTTGGCAAGCATATAGAAGTAAACAAAATTTTCAAGGGCATTTAGAGACATTGATCTCATTCCATTATGTTCAAAACTATTTTGTTACTTCAAACTAGAGAACCTCGTCACAATGCATTAGGTTCTCTTCCTTACCACAATTGAATATTGGATGATTTACTGCCTGACATTAGCGGAATCCCTACTCCTCTCCATTGCCGTAGATAATCCAGAGAAGACTGATAAGAATGACTGTCAGTTGACATTCAGTTTGCTAAAGTGATCATCAGTAGTATCATCTCTACTCTATTGTCTGGTACAGATCAAATATTTTGTAGACTAAACAACTTAATTACCTATGATGAAGATTAAAAAATATATATGCATTCACTATAAGTTGTTTATATATAATCTTTTTAGTGTATAAAAATTATTTATGATAATCCCATGTGAGTAATTTTGCATATTTAGAAATACCAGCAATTAAACAAAGCAAGCAAGCAAGCAAACAAAAAAGCCAGGTGACATTTTCATAGGTTTCCTTCTTAGCTTCTAGAAGTTTTTTATGGAGTAAATGGGGAGAAAATGTGGTTGGAGCTGAACTGCTTTTTAAATATTTTATTCACAGTCCTCCTGTTTATTCAGGAAATTGTTCTGTAAGTTCTGTCAGTATATACCTGAAAACTGCTAGGCCAAGAATGTCTTTACAAAAGGTAGAGTTTAGTTGGTGTTGCTGGCCTCCTCATACTGTTCTCATAGTACCTGCGTCTTATGAAGGACATGGATAAAGAGGACACACCCTCAGCCTAGCCCTAGGGTAAACATTGTTATAAGAGGCTGGTATCCAGGCTGATAGATTGTGACCATCTTTGGCAAATATACAGAAGTAAGCAATTTTTTTCAAGGGCATTTGGAGAAGTTTATCTCATTCCATTATGTTCAAAACTATTTTATCACTTCAAACTAGAGAACCTGGTCATAAGTTTGTCAGCTTTGGAATTATTTTTATTAAGATTTTGGGAAAAAATTACTTTCAGAAAATAATAAAAGTGTGTGTCTTAAAGAGTTGCAAAAGCCATATATTTACTTAAGAGTTTTTCCTTAATAGGCTCCACTTAAAAAAAAGATCCCGTTCACAGTAACTAGATAGCATGTCAAAAATTATAAGATATTAATCGGTGTGCTACTTCACCATTACACTCATTTTGAATTCATCTTAGTTTTGTGAAAGTAAATTTCTTCTTAGATAGAATCCCAAGTGGAATTAAAACTTCCCCAAGAACATTTATCTTTCTTTCAACACATTTCCATTTTGCTCCATGTAAATTTCTGTGGTGAGTGATGACAATCTTTTTCTTACCATGATGTGATTATTGTTTTGTATATCGAGCGACTGTACTATGGACATTCGGTGTAAACTCTCTGTACTGTCTGTCTCATTTCCTCATCTATCACTGTCTGTCAATGGGCATGGTGCTGTGACCAGTGCTATCAGGTGATGACAGTTCGGGACGTGACTCGCCATTATCACCCCCCGAAAGGCTTCCTATCAGACGCTCTAGTACCAGAGACAAAAACAGAAGAGGGGAAACGTGTTTCCTACTGACGACAGGGGATTACACATGCACTTCTGATGGAGGGATCAGGAAAGGTAGGCGAGCATTTAATCAGATCCTCACAGGTGACTTAGAAATTAAGCGCTGCAAAATATCCAGGGTGCTGCGAAATTCCCTTCCGTCATTTTCCAGGAAAAACTACACATAGTGCTCTTTCTCATTCCTCATCACACCTTTTCTCATTACAAACATTTAAAAATATTCATCATAGCAGTCTATGTGGTTGTCATATCTGAAAGGAATTTCTCTTTTCTCCCTTCCTTCCTTCCTTCCTTCCTTCCTTCCTTCCTTCCTTCCTTCCTTCCTTTCTTTCTTTCTTCTTTCTTTTTCTTCACTTCTTTTTTCTTTTTTGGTTTTCCATGTGTTTATGGGAAGAATTGTAATGGAATATTTAAAAACTAAGACACTCATCTTATTTTAATAAAAGTCTCACCAAGTCTTTTTAAAAGTTCTTTTTTTCTACAACTAATAAAACTCACTAATTGGCACTATGCATATATTTGATAAGTAATTTATAATTATAAAACAATAATAAGCTTTTTTTTCTCAAGGAAAAGCATTAAACATACTCTAGTTAAGTCTTTTATCCAATTTTTGGACTTTTTTTGCTGTGATTTAGCTGAGTGCAAGAAGATTGGAAAGGTGAGAGATCCTTGACCCTACAGAACTTGAAAGGCCCAATCACTGGAAAGGCTACTTATGTACTTGTAACATATGGTTACATAATTTCTCTTTAGGGCAATAGTAATAATTTTAAATTTATTACTAATTTTCAATCCACACTGAAAGTGCCTGGCACATAGAAGATATATTAATGGATAAATTTTGTTGGGAAGGCATCTTGACTAAGGGATATAACAGAATACTGAGACTTCACTCCATCACGTGGTTCCGTTTTCCTAGATTGGGCCACTTTGACCATTTCCTAGGTGTTGGTTTTTGTTTTTGTTTTGAGCAAACTTTACAGAAAAAAGGACAACTGAGCCCTAGCCGGTTTGGCTCAGTGGATCGAGTGTCGGCCTGCGGACCAAAGGTCCCTGGTTCAATTTCAAGGGCACTTACCTTAGTTGAAGGCTCCTCCCCAGCCATGCAGGAGGCAACCAATAGATGTGTTTCTCTCACATAGATGTTTCTCTCTGTCTTTCTCTCTCTCTTCCACTCTCTCTAAAAGATCAATGGAAAAAATATCCTCAGTGAGAATTACCAACAAAAAAAGGACAACTGAGCCTTTTTTCTCTTCCTTAAGAAATAATTTTGTGACACAACCCACCCTTGACAAAGTGATGGTATGTTCTTTATTCCCTCCTCCTTTGGTGGTTCAAGTTGCCTTATTACCATGATTATTTTCTGTTTATTGACAGAATGGAGAAAGAACTATAATAATTTATTATGCAGTGGACTGAATTTAAATAAAATCCACTCCAAAACTTTCATATTCATGCAAATGAATTTAAAAAAATATTGTGCTCTTTGCTATTCATTGCAGTTTCTCCCTATTGAATATGTTACCATTTTAGGTCTCATATATTTATTTTGTAATGCTCTGTCTCTTTGAAATACCTCATTATCCATGTTGTACTTCTCTTTCATTTCTTCTGAACACTTTACATTGTCCTGTCTTCATGCCTTTGAGTTTCAGAAGACAAAGCATTCTTCTTTTGTCTCTTCAGTAGGCAATATTTTAAACCTTTCTTCATTTCAATTATTTCCTTTCTCTGCATCTATTTCTTTCACCAAAATGTATTTCAATTATCTGAATATGTTTGATCATTTGCTATTTCACCTGTAAATATTATGTTAGAACAATTTTAAAATATTTTATAAAGGTAGTTAATAATTCTTGAGCAAAATATATGTACATACATTAAATAACCATTATAATAATATTTAACTAAAGATATCTTATGTAGAACATAATATTGTAAGTACATTACATATCTTAATTCACTACAGATGTATATATGTGTATATATTTATATGTAAGTATTTATATGTAATATATGGTTAAATTTACATACATTTTTGAGCATATTCTATAATGTATCACATGCTGTGTTTATACTAAGATCACATGTTTAAGAACTTAGGTTTTTTTCTTCATGTTAGACAATATTTTGAATTTTAAACTGTCAAAGATCACATATGAAAAAAAAACTGCAAATTATAAAGCACTATGTAAATATAAATTTTTCTTTTAAAATGTTAAGTTTCATGAGCAAAGCAATTAATAAGATATTTAGTTTGTATGGAAAAGTTATACATACAATCTTATTTCACAAATATAAATTTTCTATCAGTGAAAACACTTTTGTAAATTCATCTATGAGCTTTTTATTCTCTGTCATTTCTTACCATAGTCACCTTTCTTTTTTCATTCTTGGTTAATTCTTTTGCAGCTTTGTGTTCTTCACCTAGGTCTGGTAACATTTCTGGCTAACTTCATTTAATATTCTCTTGGTGTGTTATCTTGTCATGTCTATCAAGAATTCATTCCTTTCTTCTGTTTCTTTTTATGTAAATTATAGATTTACTTTTAGTAGATTATAGATTAATCCTCTTAATCACACTCAGACATTTATTTCCTATATTATACCTTTGTTTAAACCTTTTAAGTTGGTCTCTCTACTGAGATGATTTTAGAGTTCTGAAAATTCTCCCCTATATAGATGAAAAAAAAATTTGGATTCCCATTGAATTCTTTTTCTGTGGACAAATATGAATATAGTTGGGCATATATTAAAAAAACTTATGGATTCCCTAAAAGAGTAAACTCCCAGTACTTAGAAACTATGATTTTTTTTAATGCAGTAATTTTTAGAAAGTCACATTACAAAAACAAAGACATACCCATTGATAGAAAATGCATGGAGAGGTTCAATATTGCCCCAAATAAATGCCTGATCTTAAGAACTATATAAAATGAACATAATGAAAAAAAATGAACATAATGTATTTAGATATTAGTTCAAATTAACATCCCATTCAATAAAAGTTTGATTGAGAAAAATTTTATATCAAATTTTCTAATCAGAAATTAACCTGCAGAATAACGAAAAGCATACTTATATTAATAACTTATCATTTTACTAATGAAATACTTGTTACTAAATTAGAAGGGAAGCCTTTTAAAATGAACTTTGAAATTATAGTTACTAAAAATAAAAGAATTTATAAGCAAAATAGGTAATATTTATGTTAAAACTATAATTCAGAAAAATAATTAAACATTTAGAATGGCAGCCAAGATTTATATATAACTACTGTGATTAATATAAAAGTGTCAAACAGATTTTTACATTTTTGGAGGTCCTGTAGGGAGTGTGGAGATTTGGGGGATAAGATATAAATTTTTATATGGATGATTTATAAGTATTAACAACCCCTTTAGTTCATGCATATTTACAAGTTTGTTTTTAATCAAACCCAGTCAGTGTTTATGGTGAAGTTTACATTTTTAGGTGACACAGTCAATTAGGAAAAATTATTCTTTCTGCAATTTCCAAAGTTATATATTCTATCATTTTACCAAAGAGCAATAATTACTAGCCCTCCAGGCACATGAGGGTCCCAATGTAATGATAAATTATCTGGAATTCTTTTTTAATTATTTAAGACACCTTCCCATTAACTATTCTATCATTCACCAGAGTTTTATAGCTCCCATGTTTTATAGCCCAGAATATTAACAAAATATATTGGCACATAATTCTCTCATTAGCAGAAATTATTTCCTGGAGAACTTTACCATGGTTAATGGATGGCATACATTTCCATCTACAAAATATCAAAGAAGACATCTAGTCTGCTGAAAATGTATATGTGTATGTGAGGAAGGGATTCCTCTCCAGTCCAGCTGTTACCCTGCAGCAGAGCTGATATTGCACTCCATATCCACGTCTGTCTTGGACACTTGCAAATCAAATAATCACTAAATCAGTCATCTCTCTTCCAGTGAAAGGCAGAGAGAGAGCAGTGGCTTCCTCCCCAAAAGTTCCATGAAAGTATAGAATTAAGGAAAGAAGTAGCTGAAAGGAACATAAAGAAACACAACAGATCCACTTTCTCTCTATAGAGTCATCACACACACCCAGGCTAATCCGGGCCCAAGGAGTGAACCCTAAGTCTGACGGAGACAAATTAAGTTCATTGGAATCATATATATATATTCAGCTTTGGAAATTTTATTTTCCTGTTATACAACACTTCTTCAATGGAGCTGTCAGAATATTTCTTATATAAGATGTATAATATGACTACTTTTTCAGACAATAGTTTTCCTGCTTTTAAGATAGTTCAGTTCTAACTTTACACTAGGTACAACTTACCTTATTTAACTACCTCTAATCTTTTCTAATAAACAGCACTACAATATTTAAATTCTTCCAAAGGTGAATTGATAGGTGGCTTTTTTTTTCTAAATTATATTTTATTTGTTTGTTTATTTATTTATTTATTTATTTGAGTTTCCAAAACAGTGTATGGGACATGGCCATCAAACTTTGAATGATGTGATTAAGTTCTAAAAAAGTGTGAACATACAAAAGAGAATTAAGTGTTAGAATTATATGTCCTTGGTCTACTTTTTCTTATAGAAAGAGTAAACTGTTTATGATCCACTGTCTTCTAGACAGATCTTAGTCAGTAAATATTTCTATATCTTGCGGCATAACACCTTCTGTAGGTAAACTTTTGTTTTATTTTTTTTTATTTCCATGTTTTGATTTTAATTAAAACTGATATGGGTAATTAGAAACAGAACAAGCACAGGAGAGAAAAGAAATAAAATCAGATTTCACCTAAGTTCATTAGATTTTACAGCATCACTTTTTTTTAGCTCAATTAATATACCATGACATTAGCTCTATGGTCAGGTAGCAACAAACAAGTCCAATGGGTGAGGGTTCTCATAAAACGTAAGTTTGCAGCATTCCCAAGATCATGTAAAAAGAAAATTTCTGATGCCCAAACCCTTGGGACAAAATATTTGATCTGGACAATTAATTAGGAAGCTCCTGGCTGCTTAAGGCTGTCCTTGCCTGTTGTTGCTCTTTCAACTTGGAATTGGAGGTGACAAAGAAAATCCACCTGGAACGCAAGTGCACCCCACAGGCAATGGATGAGGAGCAATGAAATGGTAGCACCCCAGACTCCCAGGCATCTGTTGGGATCCCAAAGATGGTGTCACAAAGGAAATGAGACATTTCTGCTTCTGCCAAATGCGGGGGGCTCCCTTTCAGCTCAAAAGCTCCATCAGGAAGTTCATTTTCTCCCACCAAAAGGAGCAGACTATTGCCCTTATTTCCACGACACAAATGGCAAGCCAATCCCGCAGGACCCAGAATCCCTCAGTGCGGCATCCGAGCAGAGATGTCCATCTTTGTGTCATAGGAAATTCATCAATGCACTGTTCTTCCTTTTTTTCCTCTAAAATTTTATTTTATATTTTATTTGTTTGTTTATTTATTTATTTATTTATTTATTTATTTATTTTGATGGAGTGCTTCTTGAGTAGCTAAGGTGAACTATTGGGTTGAAGCTTGTGAGAAGGACCTTTCATTCTATAATTCCTGAAGTATTGTGAACAAAAAGTCAAAATGCAAAATAATATAAAAAATGGTGAATTGAATTCAAATTATTCTCAAGTCCTGGTGGGGGAGTCAGATGAAAACATCATAAATCAAATTCAGATTTTAACTCACTGAAATTATGACTCAACTTATATTTCATCCATTTTATTTTTTCTTGACTTTTTTATTGAAAAGATTAGATATTGGCATTCATTCTACACCATGTAGATAATGGCATCAAATGTCATTATTCAAGAATCATTTTTTTTATTTTAACTCCATAAAGCTGGAAGATTAAATATGCTATAAAAAGACTTGTCCATTTAAAGTTAAGCATTCTTTAGTAGCTTAATAAATACTAAAAAATGAAAAGAGAAAACGTAGCCCATTTTTTTTCAGAAACGTATTCTGATAATAATATTAGTCAAATGTATATCTTACTTAAGTTGCTTTGCCTAATTCTAAAAGAGTTCTGGTATTGGATATGACAAAATTACATCAATACAAAGTATAATTTGGGAAAGAATCATTTTTGAAGTATTGCAGCTGTAATTTGTGGTAGTTGTTTTACTCTTTTGGGAATAACAGCTAACAGTGAACTTCAGGGTTTTTTGCCGTTAAAAATTGTCTCAATATTGAATTCTTTGTAAGCAAATTCTTTTTTTAGTTCAAAAATAGCACATTTGATTATTCTGTGTGGTATTGTTTGTCTGTGTCTATTTTCTGTTTGAATTCAACTGATGTCTGTGCCTTTTTTCATAAAAGGATATGAAAAATCTCGAAGCTTAAACAACATAGCGGGCTTGGCAGGCAATGCTCTGAGGCTTTCTCCAGTAACATCACCCTACAACTCTCCTTGTCCTCTGAGGCGTTCTCGATCTCCCATCCCATCTATCTTGTAAACCAAACTGCACCAGTCGGCTAAATTGTATTACTTCAAGTACTGTCTACTCTATAATGGAAATAATTAAACATAGAATTACTCCAGCCTCCATTAATACAGTACAAATCTGCATGATGTTATTTGAAGTCAGCAAATGCCACGTGGGTAGCTAACGAATCTTATCCTGGTTTTAAAGGCCATCTAAAGTAGTGGTACTATTTCTCCATATGAATTGCCCAGATCTCCTTTCACAATAAAATAACAGGTAGTATCAGATACTGGCCAGTACACTAATACACAAACATATTTTCAGGGAGATATATTTAAAACAGTGTGCTTCCAAATGCCAGCCACTTCACTGGACCATCATTTCTTTGACTCTCTAAACCATTCTGAAGATGTCTGGGATCCTGTCTTGCTTGCATACAACATGACTTTGGTCAGCTCATTTGCATGGACCATCTTGTCTCTATCACCTGAAAGCAGTGTCACAGAGTTCAGAGATCATGGAGGCTCAGGGTATGTGTACTTGCATCAAACCATCCTGCCGATATGAAACTGGTTGACTGTTCTGCATGTTGAATGGTGGGGCAGGGAGGGCAAGTTTCTCTTTGACATTTTTTATTCTGTGAAAGAAATATTTGTTTTAAATAGCTTAATTTCTTGATTGATTTACCTTTCTTCAAAAATTATGTATTGGAGTTCTGAATGTCTCTGGTTGTTTGCACACAGATAACTACAAAGAGGTTGTCATTACTGGTTACACGCAAGCCGAGGCCAGATCCCTGACTTAATGGCTTGGGGAAGGCACAAAACATGAGAGACAGGTAACTGCCAGCCAGGCTTGCATTGTTTAAACAGGAATTGCTGCTTGATACAAGAGTCATTTTTATTTAAAATCTCACAATTTGTCATCGTTTTCAGAGGCAGAGTGCCAAATATTTCCCAAAGCTCTCATGTCTTTTTTACCTCCTTCCTTTATTTTTATTTATTAATTTATGTGCAAACATCAAAGAGCATTGTTGTTCACAGTTGGCTTTCTTGACTAGCCTTAGGTGTCTGACTTGCAAGAATAATCAGATTTCAGTCAATGTTTAATCAGGTGCTTTGTCCTGAATGTTGTTCTGTCTGTCTGTCTTAACTGTATATGTCATCTGTCTCCATAAAGCACAGAAATGCCTTGATAAGGTGTTCATGATTTTAGTCCTGGGTCTTCTCTCATGTCCCTTGCCTTTTTGCTACTTGAAACAGCTTCTCTGCTTCATGTGTAAATTAAGGATGCCCTGTAGACTAAGTTAATCAGTACTGTGAACCTTTCTGAAAAACAGGAATTAGGCAGCAGCAATGTCACCATTGTGTTTGGTTGCCTGCTGCAGTGTCCATTTCTGCTACCAGCATTCATCTCTACATTTCAATGAAACCCTAGGGAGTCTTATTCAGTCCAAGTGGAAGAAATTCTGTTTCCACATCCCCATGAATGCAATAGTAATAGTGTGTCTGGTGAATTGGGAGTGTGAGGGAAGAAAAATGCCATAATATATATTTAGGGATAAACAATATTTCTAAGGCATTCAAGATCATTGAGATGATTGTTGATTAATTTCTAATTCTTATGTTTATTTTTTGTTAGGAGGACAATTATCACTTTTATTCTTGGCCACGTAACTTGTATTACTCTATATCCCCAAGTCCTAGAGCATGACCTGCATGTCAGAGATCTTGTACAGCAATGTATTTACCCAGACATACACATCTGATATTTAGAGATTCAGTGATCCTCTTGATAACACCACACATAGAAAAGCTATAATTGCACACAACTTTATGGTAAAGGAATTCATATGCTGTCTGGTGCTGCTGTTATTGACTGCAGTGTTGCACAGAATTTATCATGGATTTTTGACTGATGAAAAAGGGACATTGGAATTTAGCCATAGCAAGGACTGTACTGGAAACAGACTTCTGCTGTTGAATGTGCCCTGAGGTAACCAGATTGCACTTGGAAGATGTCCCGGTGTCTTCATGCAGCATTCAAAGCTCATAAAAGAACTGTGGCTGGAACTCATTTGGTGCTCCCCATAGGAGTGGTCTGCTGTGGACTGGCCTGTGTCAGTGAAACAACTGTAAATACCAACATGTGTGCATGGGTCAATCGCATTTGGCCATCTCACATCAAAGGAAGCCAAATTCATGATCCACGTCTCTGAAGCTTCAAGTATGGCCCATACCTCTGTGAATGACCCTCCATTGGCCTGCGGTAGATTGTGCTATGAATCATACAAGGCAGTGATTTGGGTGTAGTATCAGTCTGTCTTAATTTCCCTTATTTCTCCTTTTTGGTTGGATCCATGAACATGGACTGTATAATTTTCTTATAAACCACTTATGTTATCAGCTTGTCATATTACGTTGTGAATTTTTCAGTGCCTATTTATCAAAACTGACCTGTTTTTAGTCATGTATTTGTTTAATTTTGGAAAATTGCTATGACAGAAAACACACACACTCAACAACATTATTCATAGACTTTTGTCATTGTTACCTCAATTATAAAAACTATAGAAAAAATTCTGGCAATGAGAGTATTTTTTTACTAAATGATCAAGGAGCAATGTTGGTATATAGTAGAATATTAATCAAATTATATCCTAAAATGTATATTTTGCATAAAAGAGATATTCTTCAATCAATTACTTTTTTTGTGAGTTTTGTGACAAACGAAGCTTGTACTTGTCTTTAAAACTGTTGTTGCTGAAACTGTATAATTATTCTTCGTCTTGCTTAATCAATATTTCTAGAATCTATTCATTCCCCTGGGATTCTGAATATAACATATAACATAGTTATGAACCCCTGTATTGTGGACCTTTTGTGAGCATTTCGAGGTGCATGTACAACCTTGGTGATAACCACGAAAATGTAACTAACTGAAATGCAGAATAAAAGGCAAATAAGTTGGGGATAAGCTTGAATCTCATCTGATTAAATTATTCATATTCTTCTCTGTGTTTTGGAGTTTTCGACAGGCTTTATTATTTTTATGCTTCATGGTACCAAACAAGACACTCACACATAAGAAAGATATTGGGATGAAAGGATTTATAAATATACACAACTCGCTTTCATTCAACTCTCAAGCACGTAGCCAGTGTTTCTCTCTTCTAAGTGCTTTGTCTATCTAAATTTCCTTATCATTTGAGACAGCCAAATTATGAATTATTATGGTATTTGATATTTATATGGCATTTTATGATTAACACTTAATTTTCACTTACACTTTCCAACTTAATCATCACAGTTCTGAAATGAAAAACTTTTTGCTTTTATGTTATTGATGATTAAATTAAAGATCAGAGACAGAACTGTTCGGTTGTATTTTTGCCACAGATCATCTTCCCTGGTACAATTTCTCATAGTTGAAATATTTATTGAGCCTCTAGTCATAAATACCTTATCTTCTAACGATATCTTCTGTCTCACTTTGGGTGTGAACCTCAGTTTCTGCAGCACACCACATGTATCTGGCATTTCACTTACATTGTGGGGTTACATGTCAATGTACCCTGTAACATTCTATGAAAGCATATAAGATTAGGGGAAGGTAAAATGAAAAAGATGAAGTTGGCGAATTGAACATTTCCCCATCATGCATCAACAGAATCTATTCTGTGTCTAAAAATGCTGTGTTTATTTTTAAGAGACTATTAGGAAACTGAGCTCAGAAAAAGGGTGTCTGTCTAAATATAAGTACCAATAATATGTTTTTATTGATGGTGTCAAAATGTAGGATTTACTGTAAAAAGGAAAAATATGTATGAGGGGGACAGAATACAATTTAATAGATGATAATTGCCATCAGGTTTTGATTTAAAAATAAATTAAGTAATTATAAATGAAAGGGAAGACATTCACTTTATCTTTGAAATAAATCACAAGACAGACTAATGAAATAGCAATAGAGAACTTGTCTTGGAAAGAGACAATGAATATGTTAAAATGCAGTATTTCTAAGCAGGAACTCTAAAGAATTTATAACATGCTAGAAGACATTTAGAGCTAAGTGAATCTATTAAAATATTAAAATCCCTAGTAGTTCATAATGATTAAAATAGGTGGTTTAAAATTTTTTTCTTATTGAAAAAGAATTAAATCCTTCCAATTTCCCCTGCCAAAATTTAATTAATGGTTTAAATCCTTGAACATTATTAAACAATAGATATATATGTGTGTGTGGGTGTTAATTTTCTCTAAGAGGTGTTCAATATTATTACTATTGATCCTACATTTTATAATTTCTTGTTCTCCCTTAAACTAACTCTACTTTGAGGCTATACTATTTTTATTATTGTATGAAATTAAATAATTTAATTGAATTAGTAGTACATGATTTTGTTTATTATTTATCACACTATCATGTCAAAGTGGTGGACCACTTACTAGGTACTATGCATTTTAAACATTAAGATCTACAAGACTATGGTAACCTCCATCTAGAATCTCAGGCAACCTAATACTCATTATTTTTCTTAAGTTAACTATATTTTTTAGAGCAGTTTTAAGATCACAGCAAAATTGAGCAGAAAGTACAGAATTCCCACCTACTCCCTCCCCCTCCCCCCACAAACTTCCCCCACTATTAGCTTCCCACACCACGGTAATATATCGGTTACATCCATGAATTTACGAAGACACATCATTATTACCAAAAGTCTTTAGTTTACATTGGGGATCACTCTTAGTGTCCTACATTCTAAGGATTTAGGTAAGTGTAGGATGAAATGTATCCAACATTGTAATATCATACAGAATACCGGCACTGCACTAAAAATTGTATTTCACTTATTCATCCCTCCCTTCCCTTTAACCCTTGGCAGCCATTAATCTTCTTATTGTTTCCATGGTTTTATCTTTCCCAGAATGTTATATACTTGGAATCATACAGTATGTAGTTTTTTCAAATTAGCTTATTTCACTTAGTAATGTACATTTAAGATTTCTACATGTCTTTTCATGGCCTGATTGCTCATTTCTTTTTAGTGCTGAATAATATTCCAGTTTATCCAGTCACCTACTGAAAAACAATTTCATTGCTTCCAAGTTTTGACAATCGTGAATAAAGTTGGTTAAACATTCATGTGATGACTTTATGCATATGATTATCATATTAATATCATGTATCTTGGCAATGATTATTTATTAATGGTCTGTGATTAAGTTCAAAATATAGAAATTGGCATGAATTGAACCATTACAGAGTTTATAAATACCATGCCCTTATTTACCTTATAGGTTAGTTACTCACTTACTAGTCAAGTATCTTTATTAGGAAAATCTTTTTTATTTTATTTGGGAAACAAATTTGATGTACCATTGTTTGTAAAATAGTATTTTCATAATAAAAAAATGAGACAAGGATATTCCATGTAACTCAAAATCAAGTAATTTATTGGGGGGGGGGAGTATTTTTTATCTTTGTTAAATTTAAGATAAACATTAAGCAATTTCCCCTATTTGCCAGAAAGAGATATTATCACACCAAAATGATTAAAATATTTTGGCATTCAGGAAAATTTTACAGTCCTCTTAGAAGTAGTGAAGTTACATAAAACAGCTAGAAATAATACCAATATATAAAGGATTCTTAATATAATTTGAATGTGGCAGTTCCCGAAGCCTTTCCTTAATCAGTGGCCTCAGTGATTTTATTTCCTTTCGAGATCCTTTAGCAAGTATCTAAAATGTTATGTAAATTCTGTTCTTTCTTAAAGGCCAAGAGAAAGCTATATTAAAGACAAGTTTAACCTGCTGATCAAAAACAAAACATGAGGACATAGAGGGGAAAAATGGTGATGAAAAAAATAAAATAAAGATTTATAAAAGAAAAAACAAACAACAAAACAAAGCAAGAGGAAAGCACCAAACCTGTGCATCTTTATTGCCCAGGATTAAGCATGAAGCCAG